ATCCACAGCAGCGCGGTAGTCTTCCTGTTGATTATCGAGTAATAATTTTAATGCTTCAGGGTGATGTAAAGGCAATTTCTTATGTACAGATATCATGAAGAGGGTTTAGGCCTCCTATAAGGCTCTGTTTGTCAGTTTAAATGCTATCCACATAACTAGATAAGTAAATTAAATAGTACAACCACTTGCTACTCCCCTTCCATGTCTTCATGTCATATTAGGTATTAGGTATTCATGACATATAAAACGGTAGAGAGTTGCCGGTAAAAGAGATGCTTAGACTTAGACGGTGTATCCCCTATCTCTCTCACTCTGGACAATGATAATAATAATGATAACAGAAACAATACTGAGGATAATCATAATAATGATAATGATAATGGTAATAATGAATATAATGATAGTGATGATAATGGCAATTATAATAGTGATACTGGCAAACCAAGAAAGAAGAGAAGGGGTCGGAGCCATCCTGGAGGTGACTCCGACACCGATTTGTGGGCGGGGGCTCCTGATCCCTGGCTCGGCGTCCTGACCAGGGGCTTACCTGATCAGGACGACGAGCCTGTTATGATGGGTGTAGGGCAAAGCCCTCCCAAGGAATCCTGCACCCTGAGGTTATTTGGTGGGGGGGATGACCCCACCGGCCCCCACTCTTCCTCCTTGGAAGGCATGCCTGGTTGTGCCAAGGCATGCCTGGGTGTGCCAAGGCGGGATTGCCATCGCTGCTCTCTCTGAGGTGCGACGGCCTGGTAGTGGTGAGACCAGTAGTGGGTGTTATACCTACTACTGGTCTAGCTGTAGCAATGGTGTGTGCCTTTAGCTGTCTCTGACCTCTTCTGTTCCTCAGTCAAGAAGGTTACCCCTGTTGACGAGTGCATTCCGCTTGTGAGAATGAAGCACACTTTGGGCTTCATATCTCTAGTGGCAGTTTATGCTCCTACTGAGGGAAGTGGGCTTGAAGAGAAAGAGATGTTCTACACCAAACTTGACTCTATAGTGGATCAATGTCCCTGGGGATACACCCTCATGGTCTTGAGGGACTTCAGTGCAGTCACTGGCACTGACAGGGAAGGATACGAGCTATGCATTGGTCTCTATGGCTCTGGTACTAGAGCCTCGCGTGATCTAGGAGGCTGAGGATTGTGGGCTCGTGGTACCAGAGACGAGATCTACACCGCTGGACTTGGTACTCTAATACTGGTGTTGTAGCTAAAGAGATCGACCATATTCTCGTGGATACTCGCTGGAGGATGCTTCAGAACTATAGAGTTTTTAGGAGTGCTGAGTTCTTTGCTACCGACCACAGACTTGTTGCAACACTAAGGCTCCGCCTCAGATATATACGCATCCCTAGATCTCACCAGCAGGTGTTCCATCTCGAGAGGCTCAGGAGTATGCAGTGGCAGTCTCAAATCGGTTTGAAGTGCTTGGTACTCTACAGGACCCTGCTGAATTATGGGATACCTTTAAGCAGGAAACTTTGTCAGTTGCCGTGGAGTGCCTTGGGGTCCGACCTCGGCGAAGGAGGCTTGTTGTTTCAGACAAGACACTGAACACTATATAGAGTCATACTGCCAGACTGGCTGGGAACCATGTCTTGCACAGGGAGCTGTCTCGCTCTGCTAGGGCCTCTTTGAGAGTGGACCAAGAGAGGTACATTAGGGGCATTGTGGAAGAGTAAGAAGGTCATTTTGTCCAAAATGACCTTCGACCTGCTTTCCGAGCCCTGAGGGAACTCTGGTCAAAGTCCATCTCTCAACTGGGCTCAGTGAGGGCAGAGGATGGTCGTATTGTGTCAGAGCCGGGTGAGTATAGGGCCCGCTGGGCTGAGTACTTTGAGCAACTGTATAGGGTAGATCCCCTGTCTTCACAACTCCCGTTGGCTGGCACACAGCCACTAGTGGCTGATCCATCAATCAGTGAGGCAGCACCTTCTATCGAAGAGGTGAGAAGGGCGGTCTCTAAGCTGAAGAGAGGAAAGGCTGCAGGTGTCTGTGGGATTGCTGTGGAGTTGTTGAAGGCGGGTGAAAAAGCCATGATCTGTGGTTTGCATGCAGTCCTGTTTGCCGTTTGGGAGACTGGTACCATTGCCCTTGACTGGAAAGGGGGCTTGGTCATCCCTATCTGGAAAGGGAAAGGGGACCAAAAGGACTGTGGCAACTACAGAGGTATTACATTGCTCAGCATACCAGGCAAGCTCATCTGCTTTTGGCACGAGTGCGCGACCACCTATTATGAGCACAGAGACCTGAGCAGTCTGGTTTAACACCCAAGAAGTCAACTATAGACTGTGTCTTAGCACTTTGTGTCCTTGTGGAACGCCGACTTGAGTTTCAACAAGGTATGCTTGCAGCTTATGTTGATCTCAGGAAGGCTTTCGACTCAGTGCACCGGGAGAGTCTCTGGAGCCTACTGGGTCTGCGTTGGATCTCCCCTGGGATCATTGTTTTGCTATCTGGCCTGTATACAGATATCGAGAGTACTGTCAAGTGTGGGGAGGGCATCTCTGCCTTTTTCCTGGTGTCTGCCGGGTTGAAACAGGAATGTGTCTTAGCCCCAATCCTTTTCAATATTTGTATGGACTGGATACTTGGCCGTGCTGTGAACCGTAGTTCCTGTGGGGCATCGATTGGTAATTTCAAGGTCGTAGACCTTGACTTTGCCAATGATGCAGTGACTCTAGCAGAGACATTAGAGGTCTTGGAAGTAGCTGCATGAGGAGGCGAAGCCGTTGGGACTCGCGGTCAACTGGACCAAGACCCAGGTTCAGGAATTTGGGGACTTATTGGATGTCGATGTTCGGTCTGTGTATGCCTGTGGCGAGAACATTGAGGTCTTGGATAGCTTCACATATCTTGGTAGTGTAGTACAGAGCGACGCAGGTTCCGACTGGCCTACGGCGTTATGGACTCACTCAATAGGAGTATTTGACGCTGTCGGTATTTGACTAGGAGAACTAAGATCAGGCTCTTCAGAGCAATGGTGATCCCGGTCTTACTCTATGGGTGTGAGACCTAGATACTGAACAGTGCTCTGAAGGCCCGTCTTAACTCCTTCGGTACTAAGTGTCTTCGCAGAATTATGGGGTATACCTGGAGGGACCATGTGTCCAATCAGAGGATACTCCATGAGACTGATTCAAGAACTATTACCAGTCTGATACGAGAGCGCCAACTTCAGCTCTATGGGCATGTGGCTCGTTTCCCTGAAGAAGATCCGGCTCATAGGGTCATCTCCGAGAGGGTTGACCCAGGCTGGGGAAGACCAAGGGGAAAGCCACGGAACTCATGGCTGAAGCAAGTCGATCAGATCTGCCAAGATGTACTGGGAGTGGGAAGGAATGCTGCATGGAGGCTCGCTCGGAGGGACCACAGGAGGTGGAGGCAAAGGTTGGGCGCGGCAAAGCGCAGCCATACGTATACCCCCTTATGATGATGATGTGATGATGATAATTATAGTAATAATACTAGTCACAATTATTATTATTATTATTGTTACTGTTATTATTATGATAATAATAATGATGATAATGATAATACAACAGCAACTAATAATAATGATGATAATAATAATAGTAATGGAAAGGATAATAGCGCTACTAGTAATGATGATATTAATGGTAATATTTATAATGACAGTATCATTATTATAAACAATAGTGACAATAATAACAATGATGATAATGATATTAACAATGATGATAACAGTAATAATGATACTAATATTATTGATGATAATGATAATACTACTAATGATAATGATAAGAAGTAGAGAATGATAATAATAATGATAATGATAGTAATAACAATGATGATAATGATAATAATAATCAAAGAGGAAGAAAAATTATGATAATAATGACTATAATGATAACATTAATTATAACAACATCAGCAACAATAATGATAATAGTTATTATTATTATTATTATTATTATACATGATTATCTACTACTATCATTGGTGTAGTGATTATGAACAGAACATTATTAATAATATTGTTATCTTTGCTGTTATTAGTATTGCCATTGTCATTATTATGCATCGCTACTAAGTAAAACTATCTTTATCATGACACTGTACACTAGACAAGCATTGAGATTGAAGTCAGTAAGAAACTTGCAAGCGAATATTTTCACGTTGGCATGTGGCAGGTGACTTGTTATTGATTTGGTTGGAATAATGGAGTTCAACCTACCTACGCATACTCCAGTTACCCCTTCAGCTGTTGCAATGAATTATTGATCTGCTTTTGACTTTGTGTTTTATATTTCTTCTACTTCGTTTTATTTGTCTTTCCTTTTTTCTTCCCCCCCCCCTCTCTCTCTCTCTCCATCCATCTATCTGTCTATCTAGCTTTCTGTCTCTGTCTATGTACCTTTCTCTGTCTCTGCTCCTTTAGCCTCTATACTGAAATGAACGTTTATTTCTTATTTTTGCTCCCATTTTTATCCTTTATTTTCTCTCTCTGTGTATATTTCTGTCCGTCTCTGGCTATTTGTGTTTGTCTTTGTCCATCTCTCTCTCTCTCTCTCTCTCTCTCTTACGATAAACCTTTAGTTTCATAACCATGCAAAAGACATAAGAAAACAAAAAAAATGTTTTCAAAACCACCCTAAGTACACTGCAGTAGAGCGCAAACAACTCCCATGGTCGTGAGGATTAAAAAGAGTGTTTAAATTTCAATTACTTTTCTCTCTCTCTCTCTTTTTTTTTTTTTTTTTTTTTTTTTTTTTTTACAGAGGAAATCAAGATAAGCTATGTGTAGTACGTCCATTTGTGTTGATTATCTAAAAAAAATGTATAATGAGTTAAACAACGGCACTTTGCAAGTCCATTGTTCTGTTGTTATTGTTTGTTTTATCCTTACCTCGATGACATAAAACCGAGTAATCTCCAATTCCTAAACTATCTGGTTATATTTATACCCGCTGACTTTTGAAACAAAATATCCTCCATTTGAAGACAATGCTTAATCATCAAAATTCTTTTTTGTAG